CGGAGTACGGTCCCAGCCCGGACAGGCCGCAGTAGCCCCGAGGTGGCCACCGGAGCCCGGGCTGCAGCCCCAAACACCGGGCTGAGGCTGTGGTCCTGAGCCCTCTAAGTGCCACATGAGCCCGGGTTCTAGCCCCAGAACACAGCACTGACCCGGCCTGAGCCCGAACACACAGGGCTTGGTCTCTGCTTCGAGCCCCCAAAACGCACCACTTGGTCTCTAATCCCGAGCCCTCAACTGGGACAAACGAGCCCTGTTTCAAGCCCCAAAATGCACCACTTGGTCTCTGTTTCTCAGCTCTAGCACTGGCCAAATGAGCCTGGTTTCACCCCCTGCAGACCCAACCCTCAATTTTTATGGGTTCCAAAAGCAGCTTAGTGGCTGTAGTTTCGGAACTCCACTACACAGACAGCACTTACTCCCTCTTTCTGAGCCCAAACAGGAGAGATGGTCTCTGCTTCAGTCCCTGAAAACGCAGCACTTTTGTCTCTTTTCCTGAGCTCTCACACTGGCCGTATGAGCCTGAGTTCAAGCATGCCCAAAGAGGGACGCTGTTTACAAGACCCCAAAGCACAGGATTTTGCTTCTGAGCTCTCAAATGAGTCTGGTTTCGAGACTCCAAAACGCAGCACTTAGTCTCTCTCTTTGTGAGCTCAAACACACAAGACTTGGTCTCTGCTTGAGTCCCCCAAAATGCAGCACTTAGTCTCTTTTCCTGAGCCCTCGCACTGGCCATGTGAGCCTGGGTTCAAGCACCCCCAAAAGCAGCACTGAGCTGCTCTTTCTGAGCCCAAACACTGGCTTAGTGACCCTGCTTGCAAGACCCCAAAACGCAGGACTTGGTTTCTGAGCCCCCAAATGAGTCCGATTTCAACACTCCAAAACGCAGCACTTAGTCTCTGTTTCCCAGCACTACGCCTGGCTGGTAGCCCCCAAAACGCAGCACTTAGTCTCTCTCTTGGTGAGCCCAACCACACAAGACTTGGGCTCTGCCTCAGCCCCCCAAAATGCAGGACTTAGTCTCTCTGAGCCCCAAAGTGGCCCAATGAGGCCTGTTATAAGTCCCCCCTCCCACCAAACAGGACTTTCCGGTTTTGAGCTGCAAAACACAGGACTCGGTGTCTGTTTCTAAAGCCGCCCAAAGGGGCCTCATTTCGACCCCTCCCCCGCAGAAGCAGCACTTGGTCTGTCTTTGTGAGCTAAATGCGCCCGGTTTCAGGCTCCCAAAACGCAGGACTCGGTCTCTGTGTCTCAGCTCTGACCCGAGCCCGGTTTTGAGCTCCAAACATGCAGGACTCGGTCTGTGTTTCTCAGCTCCAACGGTGGCCACATGAGCCTGGTTTCAATCCCCCAAACACAGCGCTGACTCTCCCTTTGTGAGCCCCAAAACTGACCAAGTGGGTCTGGTTTCAGCCCCCCAATTCCGCAGGACTTGGTCGCTCCTTCTGAGCCCCAAAACGCGGGATTTGGTCTCAATTTCTCAGCTCTGAACCTGCCCAAATGAGCACGATTTCAAGCCCCAAACACGCAGGACTTTGTTTCTGAGCCCCAAAATGCAGGATGTGGTCTCTGTGCCCCAGATTTGACCACGGGTCCCGGCTCTGTGTGCCGGAGCCCCAAACCCGCTGGATTCAGGGGCTGTTCCTGAGCCCCAAAGCAGCGGCTCTGGCTCTGCCCAGCGCAGGACCGGGCCTCTGGTCGAGGTTTGGCCGCAGCCTCTCGCTCACTCCCACCCCCCTCTCCCCCGGTAGGATGGGGAGAAGAGGGCGAAAAAAGGGAAAAAAACTCATGGGTTGAGATAAAGACAGTTTAATAGCACAGTGACAGAAAACAATAACAGCGGCGCGAGGCCATACACAATACAGTGACCATCCCGTCCCCATGCTAGGACATTCCTGTACCCCCTCGGCCAGCTCAAACCGCACCCAGGTCCCGGCCCCTGCCGGGCAGAAGGGCATTCCGTCCTGCCAGGCATGCCATCCACGAGGTCGGGGTCGGTTTCTCTGCAATAAACTCCCCCAGTTTGCGGTTTCCTGCCCCAAACCACCCGTGACTGAGTGTTTCTGAGCCCCAAACCGCAGGACTTGGTCTCTCTTATCAAGACCTTAAACTGCTCAGATGACGTTCCTTTCACAGTGCACAAACACACGACTTGGTCTCCACATCAGCTATACTCAAAATTGCCTGAATGATCCTGCTTTTTAGCTCACAAATTGGCCCAGTGAGCCTGGGTGAGTCTCTGTGAGAAGATGCCCGGCTCAGTATTGCCCCAGAGCACCCGTTTCTCACCCCAAACCCCAGGACTGCCCTCACTTCTCCTGCAGTCGCATGAACCGGGGGTTCACCCACCCACCCCGAGTTTGTGTCCCAGTCTGGAAATCGCAGGTCTCAGTTTCAGGCCCCACCACCCGCTGTCATATCCCGCTCAATCTCTGGGTCTAAGCCCCCAAAACACGGGGCTGAGGCTCCGTTTTCACACCCCCAAACCCGCCCATTCACCCCGTTCTCCAGGCCACCAAATGCAGGGCGGGGGCTCTGTTTTCCAGCCCTGAAAACATAAGACTTCGGGGTTGTTTTTTTGAGTTTCCAAGCCCCAAAACCTCAGGATTTAGTCTGTTTTTGAGCAGCTCAGTGTGTTTTCAAGTTCACAACCCGCAGGACTTTTAATCTCTTTTTAAGCCCCTAAAACACAGACCTTTTGGGTTTCAGCCTGCGTGCCTGGGTTTGACCGCGGGACTCGGTTTGTGTCCCCGAGCCCCCGGCTGAGCCCGGCCTTGAGCTGTGGACCCCCCCGGCCCTTGTCCCCGCCCCCCAAACCCCGGGGGTGACCGTCCCTCCGCAGCCCCCGAGCTCCGTCTCCATCTCACCAGCCCAGGGCCTGCTGCCGGAGAAACCCCGCCCGGGCCCGGGCCTGAGCCCGGAAACACCCCCCGCTGCAGCTCCGAGACCCAGAACTCGACTGGAC